GTTCCGGCTCTAGGAGCCAGTGTGGTCAAACATTAGAGGTAAAATTGATAGCATTGTGGAGCGCTATTGGATCAACTATTGGTCAGATATTTGGAACGCCGTTTGGTTTTTGAAGAGTTTTGAGTTCCTCCTCCTCTCGCCGGGGTCTACTTTCCTGCAAATATAGGCAGGTCTTGTTCAGGGGGTTCCATGCACATGTGTGTGTGTGTATATAAGTATGTGTGCATATACAAGTGTATGTTTCCCCACTGGATTTTCAAGAGGGGGTTTGTTCCCCCTCTCGAATTATTTTTTATGTTTTATGTATTTCATAATGTAATTGTGTTCTTTTCTGTATGTTTTTATTTTGTAATTTTTGTCCTTCTGAGACTCGATTTGGGGTGTAATCACGACAATAGGTGTTACGATGGCACTTAATGTGATATCATGGAATGTTCAGGGTTTGAATTCACCACAGAAAAGGGGAGCGGTCTATAAATTCCTGAATGGAAACGATATTGATATTGCTTTTATTCAGGAGACGCATTGGATTAATCCCCCAGAGAGACTCTGGAAGTTTAAGAAATTCCCTTTGCTATTTTCCTCCAATATGGAGGGGAATAAAAAAAAAAGAGGCACCGCTATCATAATTTCTAGCAGAATTAATTTTTAAATGATACACTTAACTGGGGACCCAATGGGAAGATTTGTGATACTTGTTGCAAAACTTAATGGTTCTACATATACTTTGGTTAATGTTTACGCACCAAATTCGTGCCCAGGGGATTTTTTGGATAAAATTATGGAAAGGGTTGATGAATTAGCATGTGGTAACATCATAATTGGGGGCGACTTCAATTGTGTATCTGATCCAGCACGGGATAAAAGCCATAAAAATGTTAGAGATTATAAATTAGCAAATACCTATGTCTCCGATTTTTCTAAATTTCTAGACAGGAACTCCCTGTTTGATTGTTGGAGGACTTTGAATCCCAGTGAGAGAGATTACACTTTTTTTTCACATGTTCATCAGACTTATTCTCGAATAGACATGTTTTTGGTTAAAGCGGGGTTCTTGAGTTCTATTATTAAATCCAATATTGGATCCATAGTTGTATCAGATCATGCACCAGTATTCATTAAGGTTAAATTGAAAGGTGGTCTTAGACCACGGACAAGGTGGAGACTCAATGAAAGCCTCTTGAAATCAGAATGTAATATTGACTTTTTGTCATCTGAAATTGAAAACTTCATGATTACCAATGATAATGGGGAAGTTTCTACGGCAACAGTATGGTGTACTCTTAAAAGCTTTGCAAGGGGATTATTGATTAAACTTGGTTCAGAATCTAAAAGGAAGAAGGGAGAATCTTTGCAAGAGTTAAGAATAAGATTGGCAAATAAGGAACGTTTAAATAAAAATATGGTGAATGAGGATTTAATTGAAGAAATAGCTAAATTGAGGGAATCTATCAAAGAAAGAATCTACGATATGGTCAATAAAAATATACTATTCCTTAAACAAAGATGGTACCATAATAATAATAAAATAAACAAAGACCTCTCTAATAAAATTAAGAACAATTCTAAAGATAAATCCATAAAAAAAATTGTTTTAGGTGATAAACATCTAGTGTCACCAAAAGATATCGTAAATGCATTTGCGGAATTTTATAAATCTTTATACAATCTAAAGGAGGTAGGGAGGAGTAGAGAGGAAATGGATACATTTTTGGGTAACCTTAAACTACCAAAAATCAACCAAAGTAAGTTGGAAATGTTGAATGCTCCATTCTCATTATCAGAAGTAACGGAAGTAATAGATAAGTTAAAATTGAATAAGGCTCCAGGCCCAGATGGTTTCTCAACAATGTTCTATAAAACCTTTTCTAGACTCATTTCTCCTATCCTATTAGAGATGTTCATGAAGGCGTCCGCGGACAATCCTTTTCCCAATGAGATGCTATTGGCCTCCATCATTCCTATACCCAAAGTAGGGAAAGACCCAACACTTATTACTAATTACAGACCCATATCTCTCATTAATCTAGATATAAAGATATTTTCTCAAATACTATCTAACAGATTTAAAGAAGTAATTGGAGATTTGATTGATGTTGATCAGTCTGGATTTGTGCGAGGGAGAGGTACTACAGATAATACACGTAGGACATTCAATTTAATACACAGAATAAAGGAGCATAAATGGGGATCTGTTATTATGGCCCTTGATGCTGAGAAGGCCTTTGACAGAGTCAATTGGAGATTCCTGGACTCTGTCATGGGCCAATTTGGCTTAGAGGGTCAGTTCAGACATAATACTATGTTGTTATATAGGAGTTCTACAGCTAAAATAATTAACCCTCTTGTTGAGTCTGACCACTTTGAGGTCAAAAATGGTACTAGACAGGGTTGCCCTTTGGCTCCCCTGTTATATATTCTTACAATTGAACCTTTGGCCAATATGATCAGACAGGATACCAACATAAAGGGGGTCAAGTCTCTCAAGGGGGAAACCAAGATCTCCCTTTTTGCAGACGATGTCCTCCTTACTTTGACGGACCCTTTGGTCTCAATTCCTTCAGTATTGGATATTATATCAAACTATAGTAGTTTTTCAAACTATAAGATCAATATGAAAAAAACCCAAATTTTAGCCTCCTTTTTATCTGAGGCTCAGAAAGATTTTTTGACAGCTCATTTCCAATTCTCATGGGCAAAGGATACTATTGGTTATTTGGGGATTAAAATATCTTTTGATATAGAGAGGATGATACAATCAAACTACGATATATTACTAAGAGATCTGCAACAACTGGTAGATAATTGGAGGAAGATTGAGTCCTCATGGATAGGAAGACTAAATATGATCAAGGCATTTCTGATACCTAAACTTATTTATTATTTTAGGGCGATTCCTTATAGGTTGGGGAAAGGTATTCTTAACCGTTTTCAAACTTTGATTTCCAGATGTATTTGGGCTAATAAACCACCTAGGATAGCTTTTGATACTCTTCGAAGGAGCTACCAGAAGGGCGGTATAGCATTTCCAGATGTTGATAAAATCCATGAAGCATGTATGGCGACTCATCTTTTACAGTGGCTAGATAAGGAATGGGGATCCATATCATGGCTTACTCTAGAACAGGAAGATAGCCCTAGATATGGATTGTTCGCTCTTTTTTGGATGGGTTTGCTAAATTTGGGTGAATTGGATACCAAGAATTTTTCGAATCGAATATTGATAGATATGATTATTACTTCTAGAATTCTAAATAAAAAATTGAAGCTAGAAGACAAATTATTATATAGAGTTCCATTAGTGGTTCTACAACATATAATGGATAATATAAATGTACAATCGTGGATACAACTAGGCCTAACGAAGATCTCGGACTTATGGGATGGATTTAAACCCATCCCATTTATACAATTGCAAGAAAAGTTTAATCTTTCTTCCAGAGATCTTTTTCAATATTTAAGGATTAAGAATTTTATTCTATCTCGGACTATACTTAAGGACCACATTGTTAATCCCCTTATTGCATTATATAAAAAGAAGGGAGGGATTTCTAGATTTATTAAGGTGCTAGAATCAACGGAACAAGACTCTCATGCTACCTCCTTTATTAAATGGGAACAAGACATTGGGGAATCCTTTTCACTTCTGGAGTGGTCTAAAGCTACACTCCTAGTTAAGTGCTGTATACACAGCGTTTCTCTTTATGAAACACATTTAAAGATAATATATAGGTGGTATATGGTACCGGCTAGATTACATAAAATATCATCTGCCCACTCTAAGTTTTGTTGGAGATGTGGAAATGAGGAGGGTACTATTTATCATATATGGTGGGAGTGTCATGGTCTTGATAGTATAAAAACTCAAATGTTTGGCCTTATTAATTCTATCTTTAAGGAGATAAGAGAGATTAGCCCTCAACTTTTTCTCTTTAATATTGGTTTTCCTTCGCAAGATAAATATCAAAATTATCTTTTGACTCATATATTTTTTGCCACTAAAATATGTATAGCTAGGGCATGGAAATCCTCTATTCCATTAATATGGCATAATATTATGGAGCAAATAGATTATCAACATAGGATGGAAATAAACCCTTTCTTCGGTATCAGAGACGTGACCAAATTATGGTTACCCTGGACAAATAGACAGAACTTAAGATAACATAGTGTGGTTCCCCTCATTTCGAGTCTCAGAGGATGTTATTTATTTACTTTATTTATGTATTTATAATTATTTTATTTTTTATTTATTTTTTTTCTCGTTGTTTGTTCAATTTTTGGTTGTTTTTGTAACATATGTTTTTTTATACGGCTGTCCTAACTTGTTGGAGGTTTGCCTTTGAGGTACCTCATATGTAAATGTTAAAAATTTTATATGACAAATAAAGAAATATAAAAAAAAAACAAAAAAAAAAACAAAAAAAAAAACCTGTAGTCCATTTAATTAGTATATTTTAAAATATTTGTGACTTTTTATATTAAAATAGGTGTGGAATACAGAATATAGAAGAAAATGTCTTAAATTGGCTCTGTATTTTTTTTCAGATCAGGTCAATCATACATATTCAAGTTAATCAGAGAACTATGCTCAATAAAGATGTCAGATCACCTTCAAAATGTCATTTTTCTTGTGTATCTCTGTCACTACCAATAGCTGACAATTTTTCTTTTTCTTTTTCATACAGAAATGCATCATCTCAAGGCCGGCCTGTTTAGTGTACGTGCTTTTTGGCAGTTCTTTAAAATATTGGCTACAATACTCTTTTTATTCATGGTATTTAGTTTTTTGAACAAATGGTTTAGGACACATGTCCACCAGAAATACATAACCCCCAAAATCAAGCCCGGCATCCAAAAGGCACTCTCTTTAACCACCAGACATCCTTTAATACCTCCATACCCATACCCCTACAAGTTCCTCATCAACCCGCAAGACAAATGCACAAAAGGAAACCCTTTTCTTGTTCTCTTAGTACCTGTTCGTTGCCATGATATAGTCATCAGGAATGCCATTCGGGAAACGTGGGGAAATGAAAATAACTACAATGATGTTCCAGTGGTAAGAGTTTTTCTCGTTGCAACATCCCCTCATAGACCAGAAGCTGTCCAACGAATGCTCGAAGAAGAGAGTGAATACTATGGTGATATAATACAGCAGGATTTTCTTGATACCTATTACAATTTGACTCTAAAAACGCTAATGGGCATGGAATGGGTTGCAAAATTCTGTTCCAGTGCCAGTTATATGATAAAAATTGATAGTGACATGTTTCTTAATGTGGAATATCTCATCCATCAAGTCCTACGTCCAGAGTTGCCAGTTCAAACCAACTACTTTACTGGGCAAATATACTCCAATAAAAGACCTATAAGGAGTAAAGCTAACAAGTGGTACATGCCACCAGAAATCTACCCCAATAAAACTTACCCTCCTTTCTGCGTTGGTAGTGGATATGTTTTCTCAGCAGATTTAGCAAAGAAGATCTATGAAATAGCTCAAGTTGTACCTGCAATACCCTTGGAAGATGTTTTTATGGGGATCTGTTTGTATGTGCTAAACATCGCACCCACTTACACTCCAGGGAATGTTTTTAACAGGTACTACAACTACGATCGTTGTACATTTCATAAGATAGTTGCAAGTACTCTAGGTAACACCAATCAACTTCCAAAGATATGGCAAGATTTTTGGACTAATAAGACATTGGGATGTTAACATACTGGGACTAGAAACATCAAAGAGCAGACTTTTATCAGAAATTTTTGCATATTTTATGAAACATGGATCCGTAATTTACTTTAAAAATTAACATTATGTCTGTGGTATAATTTATATTCTCATATTCTAGATTAGTGGTACTAAAACCTTGAGCAGGATTTAATTAATACCCAGTTATGTTCCCATATTAATAAATCTTGGATCTTTAATGATGTTAGAGGGTGCCAAACTCATTTGTAAATGTATAAATGGAGGGACAAATGTAATGGAACAAATCATATTCCAAATATACACAATGCTCACATACTTTCTAATCATACAAATATACAGAGTACATGCTCACACAGAAACTCACTGCCCTCCAAACATTCTCAGCACAAGCATACACACACTGACTGTACACAAACGGACATATTGCAGGTGCACATTAACTTCATTTACAAATACACAGGGTGAGTCAAAATTCAGAGTAGTATTTGACAGGTAATTAACTGTAATTATTTGTTAGTAGTTAAATTTTTTGTTGCAGGCATAAATTATAAGTGAGTCTTGGGAGATTCATCAGTTGTAATTCATGAACGAACAATGAGTAAAAATAGTGGAATATTATTTTTAAAACTGAGGCAACTGATAATGAGGTCAACCTTACCTCCCTAGTCTTGCCAGCAGTACCGGATGAACCATCAGGAAAATAGGTAAATACCCTGTGGGCAGTGGCGTACATACCGGGGTCTCAGGGGTCGCGGCTGCGACCGGGCCCGGCCCACCAGGGGGCCCGGCCGCCCTGCGACCCAGTATGCACACCAATTTGGCCAGCCTCTTTTCCTTGGGGACCCAGGAGCTGGCCACCTCATGGCCCCCCGAGGCTGGCCCTGGTGTTACCGGGCGGGCTGGCTGGCTGGCGGGGCGCGCAAGGGAGCACTCTTACCTGAGCGCTCTCTGACCAGCTCCCTCACGCGCACCGCACTGATGCCAAAGCCGGGATATGACGTCATATTCCGGCTCCGGCATCAGTACGCGGTGCACGAGGGAGCTGAACAGGGAGCGCTCAGTGGAGAGTGCTCCCTCCCGCGTGCGCCAGCCTGCCCGGCCGCCCAGCAACACCACTGGACCCCAGGGAATCCCCTCAGCTCTCCCAAATGTAGGGAGGCTGAGGATTAAATTTAAAAAAAAAACGTGTGTGTGTCTGTGTTAGAGTGTGTGTGTTAGTGTTAGAGTATGTGTGTTAGAGTGTGTGTGTCAGTGAGTGTGTTACTGTGTGTGTGTTACTGAGTGTGTTAGTTTGTGTGCGTCTGTTAGTGAGTGTGTGTTTTGTGAGTGTGTATGTGTCTGTCTGTCAGTGAGTGTGTATGTATGTCTGTCACTGAGTGTGTGTCTGTCGGTAAATGTGTGTGTCTGTTAGCTAGTGTGTATGCGTCTGTTTGAGAGAGTGTGTGTGTGTGTGTCTGTTAGCTAGTGTGTATGCGTCTGTTCGTGAGAGTGTGTGTCTTCAGCACTTACCTTTCTCCAGCACAGGACTCCCTTGGCGCTGGGGATCCCTCCGCCCCAATCCGCCTCTCATCTCCAAATGCGCATGCACGGCAAAAGCCGTGCGCGCATTCAAACCGCCCATAGGAAAGCATTTCTCAATGCTTTCCTATGGACGTTCTGCGTCTTCTAAACTTTGATTTTCACAGTGAGAATCGCGGAAGCTCCTCTAGCGGCTGTCAATGAGACATCCACTAGAGGCTGGATTAACCCTCAGTGAAATATAGCAGTTTCTCTGAAACTGCTATGTTTTCAGCTGCAGGGTTAAAACTAGAGGGACCTGGCACCCAGAACACTTCATTGAGCTGATGTGATCTGGGTGTCTGTAGTGGTCCTTTAAATGTATGTGTATCTCATGCACTGACGTACATACCGCGGTCGCAGTGGTCGCACCCCTGCGACCAGATGCCCGCCTCCAGGTTTTGCAGCCCCGGCCCGCGCAACCATGTTTGGTGCCATGACGGGCCAGTGGAAAGACCTCACCAGCCCAGAGCCTACCAATTAGGAGAATGGCGCAAACCCAGTTTGAATGGGAACTCCTTCTCCTATTGGTCGGCACTGACGTCCAGGCGACTAGCAGGACCTCTGTGGCTGTGAAGTCTCTCTCCGTTGGCTACCTCCACTTAGGTAACCCTAGGGAGAGCACTCTCTGGGCAGCTATGAGCCTGGCCTCGTAGCTTCCGGGTTGGAAGGACAGAGATTATAGCTCGGTTAGCAGCAGGTAGGGCGAGCCCAGACACTGGGACCTGAAACCGTGCGGGCACGCCAGTTCGGAATATGAATGCTTCCCCTGGCATTTGGCTATATAAACCGGCGGCCACCCAGGGGAGCATTAGTTAATGATTTCCCTTGTGGGAAATACATAGAGATACAAGGGGAAAACACAAAATACAAAGGAAAAACACATGAATAAGCAGTGGACATGGTACTCAGTGTATTGCGGTCCGCCTCAGTCTCTGTGATTCAAAAATACCCAGGCCAAATTTCTTTCCCAGTCCGACCCTGCCTGCCAGTGCCTGGAATTGGATTGGTAGGATTGAGTAGGTAATGGTATGCACTAACATATAATCCTCACATTGGTACAGCAAGCAAAGAGAAGAAGAAATATATGGGGAAAAAGGGGTTTTGCGATGATCATTTGGCCACTCGAAACATAGATGTAATAGAGTGGTGGCATCGATGTTAGAACGAAGGAGGACTGATGATTCACAAGAGGAACAAAATTAAATAATTTTGCAATTCTGCTATGAACTTATAGAAGTGCTTCCAAATATGGTGTTATAGATACCACTACAGCTGTTCTAAAACAACAAATGGGGAGCTGTGCAGATTTGTATGGGAATTAAAATAAAGTAAATAAAAACACCAGCAGTTTTTATATTATTACTTAATTTAAAAGGGAGTGGGAACGGTTTACCTAATCACCATCTTTGATATTTTGGTCAATGAAGTTAGTAATGTAATGTCTAAGGAAAATCTACTTAGTTAAATACAATCTTATTGTGAGCCTTAGGCTTGAGCGCCCCCTGCTGGAATAAATCTTGGTTGAGCCGGCAGAATAAAGATTTGAGCACACTGTTGGGCAACCATAAACGTGAAAAGCCTCAATTTGCTTAAGATGACTAGAGGGCACAGTAGGGATTCATTAACAGGATTCATTAACATGAATGAATACCTCTTTTTATTATCTTTTAATTATGTATTAAATGAATTGAATTTTTTATTACTAAATTATTTTCTCCTTCTATCTTTCTTTCATTGGAGTTCTATTTTGAAGTGGGCATGGTTTAACCATATCACTCATTCATAAAGCTTCACTTTTATCATTAACTAATAAATGTAACTTATTTCTCAGTTCGTACGAACAAAGTTACATCCTCAACAAAGACACACAACTTGATTTGCTCAAATGCACTGAATCCGAAACTCATAAAACGTTGATTCTGTTGATTTTTTCTTAATAAAGGGTCCAAACTAAATATATAAAATAAAGGGCTAAGAGGGTAACTATTCGTTGTCTCACACCTGCTGTTACTCTAAAAGTAGGACCTAAATTACCATTCATTTATGGTATACAACTGTCTCTGTCATGTAAGATACTAAACCAAATAACGAACATACAAGGTATTCCACATTTCAATATGGATACAAGAAATGATGGTGGACTTTGATCCAAACTTGGTACGAAGTGTTATATTTTACTTTCGTTTCCTGAGTTTCTCTTATTAATAAAAGTGTATCTTGTATACTATGATGTTTTCACCACACATGATTACCATGGGCTTATTAGTTCATTTGCCACATCACTTAAAATAAAATATAGGATTTGGGCTGAAACCTAGAAACGTAGAATGTGACGGCAGATAAGAACCATTCGGCCCATCTAGTCTGCCCAATTTTCTAAATACTTTCATTACTCCCTAGTCTTATCTTATAGTTAGGACAGCCTTATGCCTATCCCACGCATGCTTAAACTCCTTTACCATGTTAACCTCTACCACTTCAGCTGGAAGGCTATTCCATGCATCCACTACCCTCTCAGTAAAGAATTACTTTATGATATTATTTTTAAACCTTTGCCCCACTAATTTAAGACTATGTCCTCTTGTTGTGGTAGTTTGTCTTCTTTTAACCCCTTAGTGACCAGACCGTTTTTCAATTTTCTTACCGTTAAGGACCAAGGCTGTTTTAACATTTCTGCTGGGTTTGTGTTTAGCTGTAATTTTCCTCTCACTCATTAACTGTACCCACACATATTATATACTGGTTTTCTAGCCATTAAATGGCCTTTTTAAAGATACCATTAATGTCATCATATCATATAATTTACTATAAAAAAATTATGAAATATATTGATAAAAATTTTAAAAACACACTTTTTCTAACTTTGACCCCCAAAATCTGTTACACATCTACAACCGGCAAAAAACACCCATGCTAAATAGTTTCTAAATTTTGTCCTGAGTTTAGAAAAAAAAATGTTTTTGCAAGTTTTAGGGCTATAAGTACAGGGACATTGCTGTTTCAAAATATATATTTTTTCAATTTATCAATAGTGACTTTGTAACACTGTTATCTGTCATAAATCTCTGAATCACACCTCACATGTACATATTTTTTTTAAAGTAGACAACCCAGGGTAATCAATATGGGGTCACTACAGTCTTTTTTAGTAGCCACTTAATCACAAACACTGGCCAAAGTTAGCATTTATATTTGTTTTTGTGTGAAAAATGCAAAAAACTATTATGAACGCTAACTTTGGCCAGTGTTTGTGACTAAGTGGCTACTCAAAAACACTGAATGGGGTATCCATTTGCAATACCTTGGGTTGTCTTCTTTTGCAAATGGTATGCCATCATGGGGTTAATGCTCCTTCCTGGGCTACCATACGCTTTCAAAGGCAACATAACCAACCTGGCAAATTTCAATGGGAAAAAACGGAAAATCAAGCCTTATATTTGAACATGTAACTTTAAAAATACTATAAAACCTGTAGATGGGGGGCAGGGGCGTACCTAGAGCATTTGGCACCCGGTGCGGATCCTGTGCTTGGCACCCCCTCCCAACCCCCCCACCCAAAAAAAAAAAAAACCTGTAAAAAATGTTAAAGGTTTTCTTTCTTTTTTTTTTACAATTTGTAAACTTTGCAAAACCGCTGTCAGCCCCTCCTACAAAACCCTTGTCCTGCCCCGCCCCTCCTACAAAACCTCTGTCCTGTCCCTTCTACAAATCCTGTACTGCCCCGTCTACAAAACCCCCGCAACCCCCTTCCACAAATCCCCTGCTTATCCCCCGTTATAAAGACTCCTGTCCCAATACAAAAACCCCACCCCCTTCTACAAAATCCCTGCAGCCCCACACACACATTTACAGGCAGACAGTCACACACTAAGTTACAGACAGAAAGTCACACACTCAGTTACAGGCAGACAGTCACACACAGTCACACACAGTCACAAGCAGACAGTCACACATACACATTTCCTCCGTGCGGCCAGTTTATCAGCTGTTTGCTTGTGAGCTGTACTGGCCGCACGGCACCCTAACTACCATGGGACACTGTGCGGCCACAGCTCACACAGCCCCCTCCAGCCAGGGCCGGTGCGAGGATTTTTGCGGCCCCCCCATGTGACATCACAATGCCCCACCAATATGATTTGCCATGTTAACTAACGCCAGTGCTGCAGTGCTGCCGTGTTTACATTAAAAGGCCAGGCTATAGACACCAGAACCACTACATTAAGCTGAAGTGGTTCTGGGCACTATAATGCCCCTGTAATGTGAGGTAAATTAGAGCTTAGTGCCACGAATAATATACTAGATTGCCTACTTACAACCAGATGAGGATGATGATGGGCTCTAGCTGCAACCTGGCTCCACTGGTCTGGTGCAGAACAAGCTCTCTGGAGGTGGTTTGTAACTGTGGTCACAAAAATCAATGTTCTGGGAGAACGGGAAGCAGCTCCATTTTTTGGGGGTCCTTTACACAGCTCAAGGTCTGGGTCCCAGGGTCCACCTTCATGTTCCACCAATGAGTTTGTTCACAGGGGGTGGAGTGTGTAGGGGATGTCCTGATATGTGTGTAAGGAATGCATTGTGTGAAATTGTGTTTGTATGTGTAAGGGCTGCAAGGTGTGTTTCTGTGTATGTACGGGATGCATTGAATGTGTGTAAGGGGTGCATTGAGTGTGTGTAATAAATGCATTGTGTGCTTCTGTGTGTGTAAGGGATGCATTGTGTGTAACGGTTGCATTGCTTGTGTATGTGTGTCTGTGTGTGTAATGCATTGTGTGTTTTTCTGTGTGCACTGTGTGTATGTGATGAATGTCAATCTCTCCTCCTGCCAATTTCTCTTTCTCACCCCCTCCCAATTTCTCTTTCTCACCCCCTCCCAATTTCTCTTTCTCCCCCCTCTAATTTCTCTTTCTTCCCCCCTCCTAATTTCTCTTTCTTCCCCCCTTCCTCCTAATTTCTCTTTCTTCCCCCCCCTCTAATTTCTCTTTTCTTCCCCCCTCTAATTTCTCTTTCTTCCCCCCTAATTTCTCTTTCACCCCAAATTTCTCTTTCTCCCCTAATTTCTCTTTCACCCCAATTTCTCTTTCACCCCCCCCATTTCTCTTTCTTCCAATTTCCTTTCACCCCCCTCCTCTAATTTCTCTTTCTTCCCCCTAATTTCTCTTTCTTTTTCTCTTTCTCCCCCCTCCTCCTAATTTCTTCCTCCCCTACCTACCTTTGCTGTAGCGTGCCGGCCCAGTATAGTCCACGGGTACAGGGAGCATCAGTGTGTTCCTGTTAGTCCGGCCGGGTACAGGAGACAGATGCTCTCTGTACCCGTCGGACCATCATGCTGCAGGCTCGCCACCGCAACAGAGGGAGTGACAGGAGGCGCTGAGCATTTCCCTCCTGTCAGCCCCTCTCCTCAGGCTGCGCCCGGGCGGTGCGGTCGCCCTCATGGGCGCACCGCCGGGCAAAGCTGCAGCCACCTGAGGCTCTGTACAGGCTGAGGCTGGCTGCAGCAGGAGAGGGCGGCACCCTGCTGGCACCAGGCGGACCGCCCCCTCCGCCCCCCCCACTTAATGCGCCACTGATGGGGAGTACTGTTATACTTGGGAGCAGGGCCGCCATCAGGGGGTGACAACTATAACGGATGTCACGGGCCCAGCGCCACCCGATGGGCCCCATATCTTCAGGGGCCCGGTCAACGCTGTGGCCGTGGTATAGCGTGACCGGGCCCCTTTAAAAAAAAATTAAAATGCCACTGCAGCGCAAGTGCTGCTGGCAGGAAGTGGGGTGACAACTATAACGGATGTCACGGGCCCAGCGCCACCCGATGGGCCCCATATCTTCAGGGGCCCGGTCAACGCTGTGGCCGTGGTATAGCGTGACCGGGCCCCTTTTAAAAAAAATTAAAATGCCACTGCAGCGCAAGTGCTGCTGGGAGGAAGTGGTCACTTCCTCCCAGCTCACTCCACGCAGGAGGAGCACGCGCCCGGCAATGAAGAGGGAGAGCCGTGCTGACTCCCAGTCCCATCAGCCCCAGCCACCCTTCTGCAAAGACAAGGTAAGCGACAGGAGGGCGGCTGGAAAATGAGGTGTTTGTGTGTGTCTGTCTGTCTGTCTGTATGTTTGTATGTCTGTCTGTATGTCTGTCTGGATGAATGTATGTATGCCAGTATGAATGTCTGTATGTATGTCTGTATGTATGTCTACGTTTGTGTGTATGTATGGTTGTCAGTGTCTGTCTGTATGAATGTATGAATGCCATTATGAATGTCTGTCTGTATGTATGTCTGTCTGTATATCTATGTCTGTGTGTATGTATGGATGTCAGTGTCTGTATGTCTGTATGCATGTCTGTATGCCTGTATGCACGTCTGAATGTCTGCCTGTATGTCTGAATGTCTGAATGTCTGTCTGTCTGCATGTCTGAATGTCTGAATGTCTGTCTGCATGTCTGTCTGTCTGTATGTCCTTATGAATGTGTGTATGTCTGTATGAATGTATGTTTGCCAGTATGAATGTCTGTCTGTATGTATGTCTGTATGTATGTCTACGACTGTGTGCATGTATGGATGTCATTATGTATGTATGGATGTCAGTGTCTGAATGTCTGTATGTCTGTATGCATGTCTGTATGCATGTCATTATGTGTGTATGAATGTCAGTGTATGCAGTGGCGTACTAAGGGGGGGGCGGAGGGGGCGGTCCGCCCCGGGTGCCAGCCGGGTGGGGGGTGCCATGACCAGCCCCATGCGCTGCAGCAGCTCCCAAAGCCTCTCAGCTGCAGCTTTGCCCGGGCGGTGCGTCCATGAGGGCGGACCGCACCGCCCGGGCGCAGCCTGAGGAGAGGGGCTGACAGGAGGGCAGCGCTCAGCGCTCCCTCCTGTCAGCTCCCTCACTGTAGCGTGGCCGAGCCCTGTATAGTCGGCGGGTACAGGGAGCAGCTGTCTCCTGTACCCGGCCGGACTAACAGGAAGTGTAATTATTTGGAATCCTGATTATAAGTTTTGTATTTAGCGTTTGAAATCTCTCATTGACTGAACTCTGCATGTTGAAGGAAACCACTAACCATAGGCTGACATTATCCAATGTTTTACATAAGCCCTCATTTGTTTTGTTTTTTTAAATCTCTTTAATCAATGTAAATGGCATCCCAGGTTTTGTTTAGGACAGTCTTCCTTTCCTCAATGTGTTCATTGCTTCAACTGATATCTCTGCTCCTCACCATGTCTCTCTGGAAAATGCACTTAATAAGTGGTGCTGTTAGTTTCCTGCCCTGGATCACTTTTACCTACATGCTTTTCCATCAAGACATCTTCAAGCTGCACATGATGAGTCTTAAGACGGTGGGTGATCCATTTTTATCCGCTACTTTATTTGATGGAAGTCGTACCAGCACTTTGAACGCATGGCTGTGAGGTATAACCAAAAGGCTGTTTGAACTGTGTGATTGGTGTTTCCAAGGAATGAGAGGCTTGCGAATGAGCGAGAAAATGAGCGCGTGCAGAGACCTGGTGGTGCATTATGGATATTTTTAAAATTTGGCGATGTGTCTCTCGATCCAGTGGCAATGGTGAGAGTGTTAAGAGAGCAGTGGGAGCAAGTAACGTACGAATGTTTCTTGCATTCAAAAGACTTTGGTTCATTTGAAAGACTGAGGCTTTTCTGCCTAAAGAAATTGAATTGTTTGAAACTAGTTTCTGAAACATATTTTCCCTCCCCTTGAAATGTATACTGCTGTGAATGCTGTATGATGTGTGCATTTTTTCTGTTATTGAAATGTGAGTCAATGTGAAACCGCATTTGATGGGGGTGGGTAGTGAGCACGCTTTAGAGTGATTTTGAAACTCTCCTGTTTCCCAAGAGTGTTGGGGATGTTTTGGTCTGTAAGTAACTACAAGAATGCTGTTTGCTGCAGTCATGTGTTCTGTGTTTGGATGCTTTTTACAAGACTTGTCAATGTAGGATATTCTTAAATAAAACAATTTAATGAAAAACTATTTACAAACAAAGTAAATAAAAGCTTATCTTCGGTAAATGACCAACCTATTTTTTTTAAAGAAAATCAAAATTCTGCAAACTCCAAATCCGTATTATGGTGCACATTTAAAAGAGTATGTAGAGGATATCTCAAAAAGATGAGGGCTATAGAAAACAAAAAGAGAGGGGAAAGTTTAAATATGCTATATATTTACCTTGATAACCTTCAAAATATAAATAAATTAAATTCCACCTTAATTAGATCGGCAGCAGTACTGACTCTTAAGAAATAAAGAAGTAGGAGCCTCAAAAAACTAAAACAATCTTCGTATTTTAAAAATAATAAGGCAGACAAGATGTTGTCTAATCAACTAAAAAAAAAAAAAAAGAAAAGAAATTAACAGAAGAAAAAAGAAAAACCCCACAGAAAATGTGATCAACTAATTCAGACGCCAAGATTTTGGCAGCAGTTGTTGCTCAGAGACTGAGACGGATATGCCTAATCCATCACGATCACATAGGCTTTATGCTGGGTAGGCAGTCATATAATAACATCAGGATGATGATTCATATTCTAGATGATACTGATAAGACTCATCAACCTCTTGCAGTTATTGCTATCGACGCAGAGAAGGCCATTGGATGTCGATTTCTGTTCTAGTCTTTGAGCAACTGTGGTATCAATGGGTTTTTATCGGATTCCATTAGGTCTCTCTACTCTTGTTCCACAGCTAGAACAGTGGGACAAGATATTTGAACAGACTGGTTTCCACTAAAGAATAAAACATACCAAGGCTGCCCACTGTCCCCCTTACTCTACATTTTGACAATAGAGCTCCTAGCTAATGAGATAAGAAATAACGATAAAATAAAAGGATTTCAAATAGGCCAAGAACAATATAAGCTACGTCTCTATGTTGATGCTATCTTGATTACAAAAACAGATAAAGCGAAATCTATCCCAGAACTCATGAGGTCATTTCAGGAATATACGTTACTCTCAAACTACAAATTAAATATTGAGAAATCTTTGATTCTTTCTAAAAATCTTAATGAAGAAATGAAGCTATGTTGTAAAAATTCTTTTAAATGCAAATGGGATTTGCAAGAACTTAATTACTTGAAGGTAATTATAACACAAGACATAGATATAATGATGGAGCGTAATTATAGGAAGATTCTGAGGGAGACCAACTGGTCATTTAAACAATGGAAAAAGTTACCACTATCTTGGATAGGCAGAATTAGTGTATTTAAGTTGTATATATTGCCTAAATGGACATATTTATTCATAAATATTCCACTATTAGTCCAAGATCCCTGGCTTAATCAAACACAATCTTATATCTAAAAATGTATTTGAGCTGCAAAAAAGTCAAGAATTAGCTAAAGATCTTGTCCTTAAAATCTAAGAACGGAAGACTAGGATTGCCTAATTACACATTATTATGAAGCCAACAGTTTATTTCATATATATGATGCATGGTTAACAAAACTATCAAGAACCATAGTACAAAATCGAATCTAATGCTTGTAAAAAAAAAATTTACTCAGTACACTTTGGTACTTTGGATCTCACCTATATATGATAGGGAAGATATCTTCAAATTTCATTCTAGAAAATCTAATTAAAATTTGGTATACTCTAAAATCTAATCTCGGATTAAAAGATAAAATTATAAGAACGCTAGATGTAGAGATTATAATTTAGGAGATGGAAAGATGCAGGTATTCTTAAGATCAAAGATATATTAGTAGGAAACACAATTAAATCCTTCCAAAATTTAAAGCAGGAATTCTTTTTATATGTGAAAGGCTAAACTGATGACTCGATCCCTTCTGGTACCGGTTCTCCAACCCTCGATTGTCACCTGAGCTCAGGGAAGAATTATGGAAGCAGAATAACGAGACAGACACAAGATTGCTTTCCAAAAGTCTTCTGACAATGTATTCAAAATGCTCTGTACTTATACAATATTTGTCACGAACATTGATTACAGAAAGTTACACAAGATACATAAAAGAGGAAGTAGTTTCTGCTGTTACATTCAATAATCTGATCTTACAAAATATCACATGTACATTGGTTAAGCATCTCCTGATACATAGAAACTGTCATAGCTTGTGACTTCCTTTCAGTTATGTTTTGTAAGCGGTTCTGCAAAAGAGCTTGCTACTACATTTACAAAATAATTCACCATATAGAATACTAACAGATTAACTGTTTTAATTCCTTCAATATGATAAAGACATTTTTTATTATTTTCATATTAAAAAAATATTAATAAATCAAATAAGAACTGGTGTAAAATATCTTGTAGAAAGAAGAAAGGGTTATGGGGTAGAAAGATTACCACCACTACCCCAAAAGAGAGGTTACAGGAGGTGCAAGGGGCTTAACCCCAGAGTTAATAATGAAAAAGACAGAAAGAATGGCGTGGGGAGTCCACCCACAAAAAGTGGGTGGAGTACCCAACCCACTCAAAAAGTACCTCTTAGTATAAAAAGTTACATGAATAGGGTAAACAACCTTTATTGAAAAAAGATGCTAAAAAATGGTAATAATACCAATAGTACTAAATACACCCAAATAGTGTATACAAAATAATAAAGTGAGCACTAACACCTATAAGAACCTGGGAAAGGTAGTCCTATAGAGACATACAGCTGAGTAAATAATAGAGATGAAAATATAAACAAAATCCACCTAAATATTAAGTAAATATGTGGCTGTACAGACTAGTCTAATCCCATTAAAGCGCATAGTAGAGAGCATGGATAGATGAATGATAGTTATAGTGCCGGTTAGGTCCAGAAGGAAATATAGAGTAATAGAGGCTGAACAGTAGTTACTAGTAAAGGTGCACGGGCTAAATAGTGTCTAAATGTGGGTAGAATATCCCTCAAGAGGAAAAAATAATAATAACCCACTCCCCAGACAAAAAGGAAAGGAAAAACCACCTAAGTCGCCCTAAACTAACTATGTAGCCTAAAATAAACGGCACATCTAACTGCTGCTTCATGGCAGCCTATCCAAGTCCCTAAATCGCTATGAGGAAAAAATCAGCGCATCACAGGCGCTAAGGGAACCCAGGTACATAGAGAAGGTAAAGTGAGGAACTCAATTCAATAAAATAGCATCGGCTAAAGATAATCTCGACGCGCGTTTCGACGTTTTAAACACGCCTTTATCAAGAGCTACCTGGTAAGTGACTCGGGAGCCGGTTATAAAGGGATATAGCCACACCCCTGTGATTAGAACCTCCAATCAGAGCCCATAACAGCTTACCTCCCCTACACTTTGGACCAATCAGAGGAGGTGGGCGTGATAATCATGTTCGCTCCGGATGCCCAGCGGGGAGGAGTTTTGACGGGAAATAAATAAATAAATAAATGATGCTACAAATATGACTCAAAATAATTGTAACTGTTCCAATCCATCAAACCTTGATGCGGTAACAGTAAGGTACCATAAAATGTAGCAATAAAATGAAATCAGTGTGGAATGACACAATATAGTGTGTCTAGATGGCAAAAAGCAGCTTTTAAGTTGCTGAAAATACAAGATTAAATTGTCCAACAGACATTAAACCAATATTGCCCAAAACCAGCTATTCATGCTCCCTACCACTGGTAAATATACCTATAAGTTAATGGACAAGTGAATAGACCGTAACTGGAGACACAATGACGGGACAAGAGACAGGACGGCCATATATTCCATTCTCAGAAATGCTTAGGCAGACACAGATACAGTGAAAATAAAGTATATTATATAAAATATAACATGTTTTATACAATCAATGCATCAGGGTTAATTGATATAGTGGAACCAGGAGGTGTTCCCGAATTATCAAACACATTATCAATCCAGGAATCAGGAAAAGGGAGGGAGGAGAGGGGGGAGGAAGAGATGCTATTAGAATCTAGCCCTGTAACACAACATTTTGCTGTTCCAAAATTACAGGTAATCAATTTATCTTCTTTCCAATTAGACAAATCTCACCGTAACATCTTGGAAAAGGGGCTCTCCTTTGTACCGACTCCAGCATTTGATAGGTTCATATGGACAAAGGATTTACATCTTTTTATACGAAAATTGGCTCTATATAAATTTCATGAGTTAAATAAAGAAAGGAAAGCACGTTCTCTGGGCCTCTCTAGCCTGGATATTGATTGTCTTAATAATTTGGTCTCTCTCCTTGATGATAATGATCCTCAACTACTGACTTCATATACGAATTTGAAATCTAAAAGCCAGTTTACTCCTAACTTTGCACCCTTTAGGAATATTGATCTTTTCCTTGAGGCTGTAAAAAGTGAGATAGACGGCATAGAGTGTTCAAAATTTCATTCCTTCCCTAATGATAATCTATCTAAAAGTGAACAAACTGCCTTAAAATCACTGAGAGACAACGACAATGTGATCATAAAACAGGCAGATAAGGGAGGTAATGTTGTTGTTATGGACATATTCAAGTATGAAAGAATGGTGTTGAAGGTTTTAGGGAATGTTGATACTTATACCATTCTCCCTTCTTACACAACTAACTCTTTTTTAGAGAGTTATAAGGGAATTTTGGCAGTGGAGGGTTGCTCTCAGATGAAGAATATTATTTCATTCTGAATCGCCACCCAAGGATAGCAACTTTCTACTGCCTGCCAAAAATCCATAAAAACATTGATGACCCACCAGGTCGTCCAGTAGTGTCTGGGGTTGATAATCTTACTCAAAAAGGCAGCCTGTACATTGACCAGATCCTCAGACCGTTTGTCGAACGCTTACCCTCTTACATTAGAGACACTAAGCAGGCTCTCTCTCTCCTTTCTAACCTCCATATGGAACCAACAGCTAATCTATGTAGCCTTGACGTTGAGGCCCTTTATTCCTCCATTCCACACCAGAGGGGCATTGAACATGTTAAGTAATTCCTTGACCAAAGGGGCCCGGAACAGCAGGCACATACTACATTCACTCTCAAGCTATTGAAATTTATCCTGTCCCACAACTACTTTTTGTTCCATAATAAATACTACCACCAGATACGAGGTACAGCAATGGGCACTGCGTGTGCACCTTCTTATGCCAACCTCCATCTAGGGTGGTGGGAGGAACAGATTAAGACATCTACTAATCTATCACCGTTTCTGTCCAAAATTATTTTTTGGTACAGATATATAGATGATATCATTATAGTGTGGCAGGGTAATAGCAAGGAGTTTGATGAATTTGTGTCTCTCCTCAATATAAATGAGGATAACCTTAAATTCACCGCGGAGTTCAGAGGTCCTTCCCTGAACTTTTTAGATCTTACGATTTCAATTTCCAAAGATGGGTCTCTTGTCACTACCCTGTTTAGGAAACCCTCTGCATCTAATTCCCTTCTCAAATGGAACAGTTGCCATCCAAGATCTCTAAAACAGGGTATCCCTATGGGACAATACCTTAGACTACGACGCAACTGTACAGATCTGGCGGATTTCCAAATTAAAGCCAAGATCTTGAGACAACAATTCAAAGAGAAGGGTTACCCTAATAGATGTCTTAAGAGAGCCTATTATAGAGCACTGACAACTGATAGGGCTGACCTCCTGTCAGACTCCCCAGTGTCAACTAAGACTACCAATAAAACCATCAGGATGATTGGTACATTTGACACTGGTTGTGATAAAGTTAAAAGTTCCATGCAGAAGTTCTGGCCTATTTTACTCAAGGATACTCATCTGAAAGAGGTTTTGGGTCCACAAGTTTCTATTACAGCTCGGAGGGGTAAGAACCTTCGGGATATTCTCATACCTAGCCACTTTACTTCTAAACACGGACGAAAGATCCCCGTAGGTTCTTTTGGCTGTGGTAGATGTGTAGCCTGCAAATATATTCTCAGAGATTCTAATGAGGTGATGGACAGTGAAGGTAAACAATCCTTCCAGATTGCTCACTTTTTTAACTGCAACTCAGCGGGGGTAGTGTACCTACTTACCTGTAGTTGCAAGTTGATGTACGTGGGCAAAACCTTTCGTCCATTTAAAGAACGTATAAAAGAACATGTTAGATCACCCAAGAATCGATTTGATACCCCTATTTCAAGACATTTAAAGGAACAACATGGTGGTTCTTCGAAAGATATACGTTTCTGTGGTCTAGAGCTTGTTAAACGTGATCAAAGACGGGGAGACTTTAATAAAATCCTACATCAAAAAAAATGTAGGTGGATCTATAATTTGAATACCCTTAACCCAAGAGGTCTTAACGAAGGGTTTTCCTTTTCTCCATTTATTTGAATGCCTAGTGTCCATATTTGCCCTTTCCATACAAATTCCCTTGTTTCCTGTCTATTTTATATAACTTTACCGGTCTCACTATTTAGTGAATTTGTCTATTTGTTTGTGATCATCTTAGTATACATTATATGGTATATGTGCTACCTTTGACCCTGGTATGTGTACTGCGGGACACTTATGTGAACACTTGTATTTGACATGAATATATTCTTCTCTTTCCCCCCACCCTCCTCCTTTCAACTAATTTACAAGAAGCCCCTTTTTTCCTATATTTATCATTATTCTTATTTTTATTGATCATATCTTGTGCCTGCAAACCAGCTGGGACCCTACCATATTATGGCGAAGATCCATATTTAGTATGACTTTGAGACTATTGGTGTGGCAAAGTTTTCTATTATAAAGTAAACTACTAATTCATAGGTTCCATAGTGTTCCGTTCGGTTTTTCCACTATATCGATTAACACTGACGCATTGATTGTATAAAACATGCTATATTTTATATAATATACTTTATTTTCACTGTATCTGTGTCTGCCTAAGCGTTTCTGAGAAGGGAATATATGGACGTCCTGTCTCTTGTCCCGTCATTGTGTCTCCAGTTACGGTCTATTCACTTGTCCATTAACTTATAGGTACTATTGGTATTATTACCATTTTTTAGCATCTTTTTTCAATAAAGGTTGTTTACCCTATTCATGTAACTTTTTATACTAGGAGGTATTTTTTGAGTGGATTAGGCACTCCACCCACTTTTTGTGGGTGGACTCCCCACCCCATTCTTTCTGTCTTTTTCTTAAAATATCTTGTAGTTTGATTCTCTGATTGGTGTAGTATTTTACACCAGTTCTTGACTGGTACAAGACTGTAAAAATACGAATAGAAACACCCAAAGTAATGCGAGAAGGGCAGAGAGAGCTGAACAGAGGCCAGAAAAGGAAGTGGTTACATTGAAACACCTAAAGGGACTCTCCAGTGCCAGGAAAACAAACCGTTTTTCTGGCTCTGCAGGTCCCCTCTCCATCCCACCCCCATCCCATGTTGCTGAAGGGGTTAAAACCCCTTCAGTGTCTTACCTGCATCCAGCGCCGATATCCCTCGGCGCTGGTTTAGGGTCTGCCCACGCTCCTCCCCCACCGACGTCATCCAGCGGGGGAGACCTATTGCGCGTGTGCGGCTGCCGGCGGGGGAGACCTAATGCAGTAGACCTCCCAATAGGAAAGCATTGAAAAATTTATGAAAACGGCAATAATTACATTTGCAGGGTTAAGGGTAGTGGGAGTTGGCACCCATACCACTCCAATGGGCAGAAGTGGTCTGGGTGCCTGGAGTGTCCCTTTAAGTTGTATTGGTTCTGGTGACTATAGTGTCCCTTTAAATTCTTTTAAACAAACTGACAATTTCATAGATTTATTTAAGATTAACATTTGGCTTACTTTATTAACAGATTAAGAGGATGTATTTATGGGGCACTTAAACCAAAATAGCCATTACAACTCAGTGTAGTAATTATGTTGCCAAAAAGCTCACGGTTTTATGTGAATTAGTACCACGGGGTTTACACCAGTATCTGGAGACCTTCCCCTTCTTTGCTGCATCGATAAGGCAGAATTTGCACTGCTGCATTTTTAATATTAATGGCAATCACCCTTGACTTCACTGATAGCCAGTAAGTGCAGGGAGGAGGGTGAGCTCAGTGCTCACAAGCTATCATTGCCATCCATGTAGGTGTATATTTTACATAATCAATGTGACTGAGATGGGTAGAAATCTCTGGATGGGGTGGAGAACTCTAATATTCGTCAAGCTTCTCCAAAATGATTTCTTACATAAAATGTAAGACATACTCAGAGATTCTAGGCAATGTGACCCCTACACTAAACTGTAGTGGTTATATTGCTTTGAGTGTCTAAATGTTTCCAAATGGAAAAAAGTAGAGGTACATCATCAGCGACAGTTGTGTCTCATTTCCTTATGCCCTAGTGAAACATAACGTTCTCCACATTTTTCCCATGTCATGTTGCTTGCGCAACCAATCGATCGAGTTTTAGCGTTGTATTCATTTTATTAACTGCACAATTCCATTGTTAGCATAAAAAGTGTATTAAAGAGCTATCTTTTTATATAAATATTGTAAAATGTTTTGACAAACAGAACTGGGAAAAAATACATAAACTGCGAATGTATACAATGTGCAAATATGTGCATATTCCAAAGGGAAAAAAAAAAAATGTATATACTTAAACATCATTTTCAATTAATATGTAAATATTTGATCTCTGGTTAAAAAAAAGGTGGGAAACATATGTCTATAGTGCAAGTAACTTCAAAGAAGATCCCCTTTTGTTCCCTTTAATTGAAAGGCTCAGATATACCAGAGCCCCTTCTGTCCAGCAGGTTTTTTTTCAGCCTATGTTTTTCTGTTTTTAGAGAGATTGGATATTTACATATTAATTGAGAAAGCTGTTTAAGCACGTTAGATTTATGAATTGCACTTTATATGCACATTAAATAGCTTTGCACGTTACGTATTTCTAAGCATATCACGTTTTTTTCCTGTATTGTTGGTATTGTAATGTGGGAAGCTAATGTGTTGAGTGCATGCAGCTAAAAATAAAATATTGTTTTAAGCCTTACAGAGTAGAGAATATGTGGCCTTTTATAATACTTAAGAACCTCTCACTTTAATGACAAACAGAGTACACTGACAAACAGAAATGGTTTGAGAAATTCTGGTGTAGAATTTAAAGGGTTAATTTGTATAGCAACCTTAGAATACTACCAAATATTACATATCCTTAGTTTAGTTTTTTGTTTTTTTGTAGGATCACGTTTGGCAACATTTAGGAAATCTTACATTAGTAACCAATACATCTTAACACCCCAAAGTCTTATTAGTCCAAAAATTTCTCCAAATTTCTTGAAGGTTCTCTCCGTCGATATGAGCTGTTATAAGTTTGTGAAATGTGCATCGATTGTATTTATCATACCTGTTAAACAAATTCCCTGGAGCTTTCTCCGGTGAAAGATTAAGCTCTTTCAAAACGATACCCATAAAGACATCTTCCATCGGTATGATTTTTATAACTTGTGCTATGTCATAAATCTTCTTTGCCAGATCTGTTGAGAAAACATATCCACTGCCACTACAATATGGTGGGTATGTTTTATTTGGGTAAATTTCTTCAGGAACATACCACTTATCATCTTTTCCCCTTACAGGTCCGACATTGGATATTAATTGCCCAGTATAATAGTTGGTACGTACGGGCAAATCTGGATGTAATAGCTCATGGATGAGATATTCGACGTTGAGAAACATATCTGTGTCTATTTTCACCACGTAACTGGCGATGGAACAGAATTTTGCTACCCATTCTACACCCATTAGCGTTTTTAAGGTCAAATTGTAATAAGTATCAAGAAAGTCTTGCTGGATGATGTCACGGTAGAAATCACTTTCGTCCTTCAGCAAATTCTCTTCAGGCTCATTTTGAGTAGGCGATATCCCAATCAGAAAAAGAGTTACAACGTCTACACTGTGATAATTAAGCTCATTTCCCCATGTTTCCCGAATTATATTCCTAGAAGCTGTGTCATAACAGCGACTGAGCACTAAAATCACAAGAAAAGGTTTCCGGACAGAACATTTGTCTTGAAGTTTGATGAGGAACTTATAAGGGTATGGGTATGGAGGTTGCAAAGGATGTCTGGTAAGTATTTCTGACAATACAGGATGGAATGTACCAACCTTGATTTTTGTGTAATCTACTTTATGTCGTAAGTTAGAGTTCATTAAATAGCCAAAAAACACTCCAAGCATGAAAGTGCAAAAAATGATCCACAATAGACGTTGCCTACAGCCGTTCAGTATGTTAGCCATGCCGATCTTGTGTTACTTTGAATATTTCTGTACAAACCAGAGAAAAATGGTGAGAAGGAAAATAAATCTTAATGTTTAATATACGTTTAAAGGACTACTTCAAAGTTATGAGTGTTTTTCTAACCAAATAAAACTATTTTCACATGAGATTTTGAAATGCAAAGAGATATAAATATATATTTTAATCCATGTATATATATATATATATATATATATATATATAAATATATATATCATATATAACTAGAATATATTATGTCTTGTATAATAATATTTTTTTTTATAACTGGCATGTTTGTCTATAGGTGACCAGGTCTATTCAATGGATAGGTTCAAGTATTTAGAAATGCACTACTGGTTGCTAGAACAGCTTTGAATCGCAAGGCTAATCAGTTGGCTGAAAGGTTTTAATAGAAGTATAGCTTGTGCATAAATGTGGTATAAAACAACAATGTTGTGTATAAATTATTCAAATGTAAAAAATGTATTTAAAAAAAAAAAAAACCAACAATGATGCATATTTGCAATATTTGACTTTTTTACTTGTTGACTCATCCTTCAATGGAATGTTAGGGAATAGATTTGTTTAGAATGATATGGTATCCCTTTTCTGCCAATAGGGATTTTTTAAAATTTTTTTTTTAAATGTCAATTTCTCTGCATTGAAATGAGCTAAAGATTCAATATATTTATGTTGGAAAGAGGTTGATGTGGGCCCTCTGTTAAAATAAAATATAAATAAATCACAAAATATGATTTTTTGGGGGGTATGCTAATTCACTCCCCATAATTTATGCTTTGATGTCTCTGAGCCCCTTTCTTTGAAAGTAAAACAATGCCCTCTTTGGTGAAACCGACACAATAGTCTGGGGTGGTTTTGACACCTCTATCACAATGTATGTATTTTTTCTTCCAGTTCTATGAAATTACCACTATCCTGGTGATTAATTGATCACAGAACCAGCATAACTACCCTTATTTGAAATATGGTTTGCCAGCTTTTTAGGGCTTTTTGGGTGTTTGCCATTTCCTTCCATTTTTTTTATTTTAAGTTCTTCGTTGTTATGTTACCCTCACAAATATCTTTATTTAGTAGACATGTTATACATAGAACATTTGCTAATCTTAAGCTAGTTACAATACATATTAGAACATTACTTTTATTGGAAGATCTACAGAATTTTTTAGCATTTTTACTTAATTGCTATGATATCTATGCATAACAATTTAGTATATTTTTTCTCAACAGGGTTCCATCAACAAAGTAAATTATGCAATTAACAGGAACATATGTGTAGATAAAATTAGCAAGAAGATACACAAATTGCCTTCTTTACAACTAGGGCAATATCTGCAAAATTGTTGTCATCCTGTATTTCAAGTGGCTCTCAATTTATACCCCCCAAAATATATATTATCTTACCTTACTTTTCTAGCTTCGTATAGGCATCAGAATTCAAGAGAAGAACTAGTGAGTTACCAAACAATTTACCAACTGGAATTTTGACTTCACAAAGATAACTATATCTTCGAATTAGCCCAAACATAGAAAAACTACTTCCTTTTTTTATACAATAGCACTAAACCTGGACCTTTGTGTATGCTCTGAATTTTCCCAATTCTTCGAGTTTCAACAAATTATATAGATTCCTTATTCTATCGTTCCTTCCATGCTTGCACTTAGTGCCAAATTTCCCATAAGTCACAAGAGGCCATGGCCTCAAGGCGGCACACAGGAGAGGGGCAGCACTGCTGGAACCTTGCATAGTTGGTGGTACAGCAGAAGTGCTCAGACGAGAATAGCTCTTTCACCTTCTCGTCTGGCACCCCTGGTGGCAGGTCCTCACTTTTCCCGGAGGCAGCCGAAAAGATGTCCTGTATCTCTGGCTGCCTGCCACTTTAGGAGAACAAGTAAGCGAGAGGGCACAGAAGAGAACAAGTGAGCAAAGGGGAGCAAGTGGTGGATGAGGGTGAAAATAGGAGAACAATTGTGTGAGGCAGGGGGACAGAAGGGCAGAACAGGTGATTGAAGGGGGGTAGAAGAGGGGTATAAGTAACGGAAGGGAAACAAGAAGAGGGGGACAAGTGAGGAAAGGAAGACACAAAGAGAGGATCATGTGAGGGAAGGGATTACAAGAAGAGGGGAACAGGTGAGGGGTGGGAATAAAGAAGAGGGATACAAGCAATGGGTGCGAATAAAGAAGAGGGGAACAAGTGAGGGATGGAAATAATTTAAAGGGGGCAAGTAAGGGAAGGGTGGGCAAGATAGGGGAACAACTGGAGGAAGGCAGGTTTATGGGGAGAGGGGCATAATTGGGTAGAGGAGCATATGTGAGGGAGAAATAAATGCATAGAGGGGATAGTGAAAGATAAACAGGGGCAGATGGTTATTGGAAATACAGTACACACACACACACTCACTCATGAACACTAAAACCTCACACAAATATGCTCCTGCATGCGCACTTTATAAAAAAAACACTAAACTCACACACTAGCACTCTACACACATGCACCTGTCATTCACATGCAATCACTTACACTTCACACAAATGTGCTCCTACATACACATTGCCAAGCAGCCACATACTCCAAACCAGTCACATAGTCCCATCTCACCTCGCAGTTATATCCACTCACCCAAGACAAAAATAGCCAAAAAACAAAGGTGCGCTCAGAAATAAATTATCTTCTTAAATTTTAACCTGTGAAAACTAATAAAAACATACATATTGCAGACCATTTAGATCAAGCATGTCAAACTCAAAGGCTAGCACGGGCCACATAAACAAGGTTTAAGTTTATGACGGCCACAAATAAAACCAAAATCTTAAATTTTCATAGAAAAGTAGGTTTGTTTTGAAAAGTACTGTATTAAAAAAAGCACACCCCTGTACTGAATCCCAGTCCGCCCCACCCTTTGTACTAAATCCCAGTCCCCCTTCTGTACTAAATCCCATTACCCCCTCTGTACTAATTCACAGTCCCCCCTCTATACTAAATTGCAGTCCTCCCTTCTATCCTTAATTCCAGCCCCCTGCCCCTCTCTATACCAAATCCCAGCACCCTCCTCTACTAAACCTAGCCCTTGCTTAAAAAAAAAAAAAAACAATATTAGCCAACAAGCAAACTCCCCTCACATTGCTGCTGTCAGTATGCGACTCTGGAGTCTAGCCTCTGGTATACCCCCAATGGCGCCGTCCGCATCCTGTGCCAAACAGATCTTCCAGCTGCTCCTTGAAAAGTGAAGGTGGAGCACTTTGACGTCACGTCAGAATGTGACATGGCATTGCGTGCCTCAGTGCACCTCCAGGTCCTCCACTGTCCAGCCTTGTCCATCGCAACACTGACCAACACACACTGACAGACACACACTCTCTGACAGACACACACACACACACACACAGATATACACATACTGACAGATACACACACACACACTCTGATAGACACACACATTCTCTGACAGACACACACATTGCTCCCTAACCTTGGGAGCTGGTGTGGGGCCTCTCCCTGATCTTCTCTCAGGAGCTCAGTCTTCCTGCTCCCTCACACGCAGTTTAGTGATGCCGGGCCGGAATTACTTCATATTCCGGCACCTGGCATCACTACAGAGGGTGCGCGAGAGGGAGCAGTGAATAACTGGAAGACTGAGCTCCCTCGCTGCCGCCAGGGAGGGGAGCAGGTGCCTACTCTGCTTTAGTAATCATGTCAAACTCGCGGCTTGCCGGGCAGCAAAAATATTCATTGTGGGACGCGAGTTTGACATGTTTGATATGGATCTAAAATAACCAAATACAGTGAAAAAAAGGTGTGTCTGAGGGTCTCGCTCTCATGTACCAGAGCCCTATCACCCCTGGCTCTGGTACATGAGAGCGAGACCCTCAGACTCAGGGTCTAAGTAGTTCCACTTGAGAGTGAATATGTCCCACAAATTGCATTTATCCAGCCACACAGTGTAGTGATTGTGACGAGAGCAATCTCGCCACATTGCATTGGAGAAGCCTGGCTGCCCGCCTGCTGCCTTTGGACTATGGACCAGACTTTATGTAAATGTGTTAACCCAGATAGCTATGCCATGGAGCCCATTCGTGTAGTTACAGACTTCGGCTCCATGGCAATTGAACTGTGTGAATAGGATCTGAGCGCTATTCGGTAGTTTTGTGCGCTCAGATCCCAGCTATTTGGGGTTATGTGAAATGTCTGTGTGTTGTGTGTAAAAGGTGACTTTATGTATTTTAAAGTGTTTTATGTCTTTTTGCAACCATGTGCTCAATGGAGTCTGCCTCTATCCCTGGATAATTGGATTACTTTCCCCATTGTCTCCAGGCTAGAGGGCTCTGTAAAACCAGTTTGAGCCAGATATCCATGTGCCAGCCAGGGCCCAAAATATACTTTTACTAACTTTTGAACCCCTGGTCTGATTCATGCCATTTTTTTAATATGTTGTTCCCCTGAATGGATTGATTGTGAATATGTAATTTTATGTGAATGTGATGTATGGTTTTAGAGTTATGAAAGTTGGGTAGAAAGTATGTTTTAACTGTATGTATAATTGAGTTTCCTCTCAGGATAAGGGGAGGGAATATGTGGGATGTAACTGATATGTAATTGGTTGTTTTATACCTCCCTGTGGGCGGTCCTGTATTTGAAAAGACTGTAATAAAAACCAGGCTGGGTGTGCCAGCACCTCAGACCACTGCTTGACCCTCAACACGGAGCTTTGTCTCGTCTTTGGGGGGATTTACTGAATGCTGATAGAGACTGATTGCTAGGAGTGTAAGCCGCTTGGATGCTTTTCTTATTCGTCTGCTAGCAGCAATTCGAATGGTTCCTGTTCGTGTGTTTGGAGTGCTATATTGGATGCCGTTCGGGAGTTTGGAGCATTCACTTATTGGTGGTTCGTGTGTTTGGTGTTCTGCAGTAGCTGTGCCTGCATCTCCGGAAAGGGGGCCGATCACCTAAACGTTTTTTCCCCTTTTTGTGCAAAACGGTCCGTTACAGTGATCTTCTGCAAATAGTGCTATATCCAACTTCTTGATTATC